AAAGAAAGAAAGAAAGAAAGAAAGAAAGAAAGAAAGAAAGAAAGAAAGAAAGAAAGAAAGAAAGAAAGAAAGAAAGAGAGAGAGGGAAAAAGAATGAGATAATGAAAGAATGAAAGAAAACGGGTTCCATCCATAATTTTCAATAATTCAAAATGAAATTCGATTAATGGCGATATTGTTTATATCCTTTTACACATTTGACGAATATAAGTGTGATTTAAGTAATTTCGTGTAAAGTAACTGTATGAAATATGTTCATTACCACATGTCGAAGTACGTTATATCAAAAATGCATCATTTTATATTATTGAACAATCATGTTAATCAAATTTCTTTTGTCTAATTAAAGTTGTATTTTTATTTCAGTCCACACCAGTTGGATCGCTACAAACGGGTCACGAAATCATCGTGTCACCAAATCGCGATCGGCATCCAACGACAACGTATAAGGTATATTTTCTTTTCTTTTATCATCTTTCATTCTTTTCGGCATGGATGTGTGTAGTTTAGCGGTTTGTGATACGAATAACAGCATGAAAATATCTCATGGAGATAATCAATATCGAGAATAAGAGAGAGAAAAATTAGAAGAAAGGATTTTTCATTTATATTTTTGTTTCCCATTATTTTTTTCTTTTTCTTTTTTTTAGAGAGACAGATTTACGCATTATTTGTTTTTTCGATCATCGATCATCCGAGCAAAAGAGTGAGATTTAAAACAAACAAAAAAAGAACTTTTCTGCTTCACATTACACTTTTCCTTGGTATACATGTGTAGGAGTACGATGATTTTGAAGAGGACGTAGTCCTTATGATGGATCAAGTCCGCGTGGAATTGCAAGGCCACTATGTAAGCCACTTTTGATGTACACTTTGAGCGATTTCTTCGTGCATGATGATACTATCTTATCGATAATGCGGCACGGTTACCCAACTCTCGTAAATATACTTGGATATAATTAACGTTTGTTTTACGATAACGTTCATCTAATTGAAATTCTATTTTAACATATTTCTATCGTTTGTTACATTATACAATAATAATAGTAATAATAATAATAATAATAATAATAATTGTTATAGTATGCACGAAGAAAATGAAAGAGAAGCTCTTAGACTCAAGTGGTATTTAGAATCGAAGCCCTTGCGGTATCTTGCTTGATGTATTATGTAAATTCGATACGACCTATCCTATTGCTAATAGTAGATATTGTTTGCTCCATTAGAAGTCAATTCTATTAATTGTAAATTAAACTCCGATAAAGAGTAATATAAATATGATTTGTCGCGTTAAATAGCTCATTTTTTCTTCGTAATTAGTCAAAGATAATGGTGGCATATATTCATAATAGATCATCAAAAAAAGATGTCTATTAATACGATCATTCATTTGCACTGATTATCATAAGACATATCTCGTCCTATATTCCTTCTCCTTGTGACGCTGTAATTATCTATGAATTATAATACGAGATAAGTGATTTTCATACCATTTTGTTGTCATGTCTCGACAGTTTTCCAAAATACTGACCAGAGTAAAATGAGTGTAGTCGAAATTCGATGATTCGTAAGTTATTATTAAAAGCTTTTCAAACAAAAACAAAATTTGGATAGACTTCTAATATATTTGAATGTGATGTCTACTTTTGTTTTTCAAATTCGAAAAGATAGCGTAATCAACGTAATCACTTTTTTAAATAAAATATTCATGCTGATCAAAGGTGATATCCGACATTGTAATTAGAAAAGTTTGAAATTTCGAATTGCGAAACTTTTCTTCAGGATTATGTCTTTATTGCATACAAATATATATATATATTTGTATATA